ACAGTTTAGCCTAGCCTACCTTAAACGTGCTCAGAACACTTATGTTAGCCTACATTTAATTATATTAAGTTTCATCCCAAGAGTAATTGCCTTCCTCTCTTCTTCTTATCACCAGAAGCAGGAGACACAGAGGAGTTTTTTGTAGACATGATGGGATGCCAAAACATAAAATAAAAAATCCAAAAAACTGGCAACACAGTATACTCTAGGCAGCAGTCCCCAACCTTTTTGGCACCAGGGATAGGTTTTGTGAAAGACAATTTTTCCACAGATCAGGATCGGGGATGGTTTTGGGGTGATTCAAGTGCATTACATTCAAGCTCACCTCCTGCTGTGCGGCCCAGTTCCTAACTGGTCTAAACTGGTACCAGTACTGGTCCCAGGCCGGAGGTTGGGGACCCCTCCTGTAGAGTATCATGTGTTGACCCTCATGATCCCCTGGCTGACTGGGAGTTGAGGCTGCTGTCCCTGGCCAGCATCCCAAAGGAATTTCATTACACGTGTCACTAGCTTTGGAAATGATAAAAATTCAAAATTCAAAGTACATCTTCTACTGAATTTATATCATTTTTGCACCTTAGTAAAGCTGAAAAACCATAAGCTGAATCACTGTACATTGGACTATCATAAGTCCAGGACAATCTGTAATCATCAGGGAAATACAAATTAAATCATAGTGTGATGCTGCTCCCCTACCCACTCCACCCCCAAATGGCTGAAAGAGAAAAGACACTTGTGTTGGTGAGGATATGGAGCAAGCAGACTTCTCTGCAATGCTAGCAAGACTGTGAAACAGTACAGCCTCTTTAAAGGCTAGCAGTTTCCTTTTTTTTAAACAAGCAATTTCTTTAAAAGTTATAAACAGGTATTCTATGACCTAGCAATTTTAATCCTGAGAATTTGTCCAAGAGAAATGAAAATAAATGCTACAAAAAAAGCTTTGCCCAAGATTGTAAATAGCAGCTTAATTCAAAGAGCTAAAAACTGGAAACAGCCCTGTGTCCAACAACAGGAGGAAGAATGAACAATTGGTACATTCATAGAACAGAATGGGACTCAGCAATGAGGACCTACCAATACATGGATGGGTCTCAGAAATACAATGCTGAGGGAAGGAAGCCAAGCACAAGAGTGCCTCTTACACGATTCCATTTATACGAAATTCTAGGGCAGACAAATGAACCTATGGGGATAGAAACGAAAATAGTGTTGCCCGGGTGGGAGGAGATTTACTGAAAAGGGGCCTGGGGGAATTTCCTGGGTGACAAATTATTTTACATCTTGGTGAGGGGGGAGGAATTTGTGGAGTAAACATTTATCATCATTTACCAAATTATACACTCAATATTCACTGTATGCAAATTATACCTCAGTTCCTCAAAATTAAAAAAAGAAAAGTTTACTACTTGGCTGTGAAAAAGAAGGAAATCTTACCCTTTGCAACTGCATGATGGACCTGGAGATCATTATGCTAAGTGAAATAAGCCAGTAAGAGAAAGACAATTGCCACATGATTTCACTTTTATGTGAAATCTAATGCATAAAGTAAACTAACAAAAAAATAGAAACAGATTCATAGATACAGGGAACAGACTGACAGCTGTCAGAGGGGAGGGATTGGGGGGTTGAGTGAAAAGAGGTGAAGGCATTAAGCAAAAAAAATCCAAAAAACTCATAGACACAGACAAGAATATGATGATTATCGGAGGGAAAGAGGAATGGGGGAGGTGAAACAGGGTATGGGGAGATAAATGGTGACGGAAGAAGACCTGACTTGGGGTGGTAAAAATGTCCAACCATTGTCAGTATAATGAGAATAATCTATGCAACATCAGTGTAACCTGGCAGCCAAGGAGAGTGACTGGAATGCGCATACATGAACGATGACGACTTCACTGTACTAGTCAGTGGGGGTAGTAGCACCATTGAGTAAGCATGTGTACTGTGTGGCCATCGGATTCAAAATGATTGAGTAGAGCTCAAATCTGTATCAAATTTTGCATTAAGCTCGAACATTCCTCTTCGGAAACTATTGGGATGATTCAGAAGGTTGCAGCTATGGGCCACACACCTGCTCATGCATCACATATTATGCAGAGTATTTTAGTGAAACATCAAATCACCCAGTTGACTCAGCCCCCCTACAGCCCAGATTTGGTGCTCTGAGACTTCTGGCTTTTCCCAAAACTCAAATCACCTTTGAAAGGGAAGAAATGTCACACTGTTGATGAGATTCAGGAAAATTTGACAGGGCAGTTGATGGTGACTGGGAGAACTGTGTAAGGTCCCAAAGTGCTTACTTTGAAAGGGACTGAGGCATCATTGTCCTGTGTACAATGTTTCTTGTATCTTGTTCACTACATGTCTCTATTTCATAGCACACAGCTGGATACTTTTTGGACAGATCTCATATATATGATGCGTTGTAGATTTGTACACCTGAAACCTATGTAATTTTATTAACCAATGTCATCCCCGAAATTCAATTTATTTATTGAATTTATTTCTTTACTTATTTTACAAAGTTAAACAAACAAACAAAGTTTAAAGAATAAAAGAATGAAGCCCTAGCCAGAGAGCTCAGTCGATAGGAGCATCATCTCAATGTGCCTGGGTCAATACACGTATAAGAAACAATGAAAAAATGCATAAACAAGTGGAACAACAGATAGATCTTTCTCTCTCAAATCAATATATGTTTTTTTAAAAGAATAAGAGAGTGATATCTCTGAAGATGGGCTGTAAATCAGAAGCTCAACGCTGCTTCTTTCTCAGCTGTAAGAAGAGGGTGGTGAGGGTTACGGAACTTCAGGGGGTTCTCCAGAAGGCTGAGATACCGCCGGCCGTCCTCAGAAGGACGCCCAGCTAGGAGGAAGCCGAGCTCCGTGGAACTTGTCTCCTCTGTGCCTAGCAAAGGACAGGCATACCCACAGGGCTTGAGCAGTGTTTGTTGAATTAAATTCGTGCTATTTTTGGAAATTCTGTGGTGGTAATCAGGCCACTGCGGCCCTTCAGGCGAACTCCATTCTGAATAGAAGAGCCCATGTTTAAAACTGAACAATTTGGGTGCCAGGAAAAAACACCCAAAAGGCATTTTATGACCTCTTTTACTGCAGGCTTTTTTCTCCAAAACAAACAGTGTTAGGCCTCGTGGAGTCTGCCCGTGTAAATATTTGCTTGTTCTTGAGAAAGAGGCCACAGATACACCTGTATTGTAAATCAAAAATCTAACCTCATTTCATAGTTAATTTAAATGTTTACTTTTAGGACACTACTTTATATTTTATGGATATATTAAAGGATGAATTTATTAGGTTGGTATTTTTACTCATGTAGAAGAGAGGAGGAGTAACAGAAGAGCCCCTCCCTAAATTTTTATTAAATAAATAAATGATATAAAGAACTCAGTAAAGAAATACATATGGGAGGAAAGTAAGCCTGGTATTATGACACCCCATACCTCGAACTACAGAGGAGTGAGGGAGAGCATGGGTTCTGCTGCCAAACAGCCTGTGCTCAGCCCTGCTCCATCGCTGTTTGGGCCAAGGGCTTACCTTGTGCTGCGTTGCCTCACTTACAAAACAGGGATGAAGTGGTCCTTACGACAGGGTTAATATGCCACTGGAAGAAGATACACCCATAAAGTATAACAGTGAGGCTTGGCCCAGAGTAAGCACTCCATCAATATTAGCCATTACGATTATTACTACAAATAGAAGCTCTATCTGCTAACAATACTAAACACAGGACAATAGAAATGAAATGAAAGCAGAATGTGTCCCGCTGTGACAGTACATGAGTAAATTCTCCAGGCTACCTGGGAAGATAAATTGCTACGGTTAAACACTGAGCTCTAGAAAATCTAGAACTGGTTCTCATCGCCATATTTTAATGATGAAATTCGAAGACTCAAATATAATTAAGTAACAAAAAAGCCAAAGTAGGAACGCTTTTTTTTATAAGACATTGCCACCTCTGACACCGCTGCTGTGGGTAGCACCTCGATGCTTCTCACTCCAAAAGGCTTATAATTCATTTCAATGGCCAAATACTCATTAGTTCTTTCATGCTTCTTAAAAGTACAACCTCTTCTGCAGCCCTGGTGGACATAACCTGACAACACAGCTTTAAAGGGTGAGCAACATTGTAGAAACTCAAACTGATTGAGCAAAGCCTCAGGCTTGTGTCTCATACGTAAGTGTGAAAGGCCTCACTGCCCACAGATAACCCTGACAAGGGTCTCAGGTCACTGATTGCAATCGGGCAACACTTCCCGGACATTCACCATGCACAAAGCACCATGCAAAGCACTGCGAGAAGACACAAAAAAAGATAAGGGAGGCTTCACTGGAGGGAGTTTGCACTTTAAGAACCCAAGACACATAGAACCTAAACAAAGGCAAAATTGAAATATATAAAGTAATCACAGCTAACTGAGACCAAATCCACTAGAAGACCTATTTTAGGCCAGTAAAATAATTGGTGTCTTCATCATTTCTTTTTTGATTAAGAAAAGTTGGCAGCTGTCCTCCCTAACTAATGAAACCACCACAGCCTCATAAAAATGTCAGTGCCCCTCTCCCACTCCTGAGGAGCCTGATGAAGGGCTGGAAAGAGACCAGAACAGAAGGCTGATTACGGAGCGTTGGTGTGTTCGGAAGAACCACGGTAGGTTGGTAGGTTTTGTCACTCATCTTCAGCTCTCTAATGGCAGCATGATGGTAGTCTCTCAGTTTAGGAGGCCAACTCTCCTCCTTCTTTCAAAACACACACACACACACACACACACACACACACACACACACACACACACAGAATCATTATATCTTACACAGGGTAGATGGGTAGATTGACCTAAGTCAACGGATAAAGTACCATTCCATCAAAAGTGCAAGTATAGAGTAAGAAACCAAATTCAATAAATATGAAAAGACAGGGCAACTGAAGGTATGCCAAGCAAACTATCTGGACCTGAGAAGGCCAGAGGCTTGTGAGCTTACCTAGAATAATTCTTCTTGGTGAAACGTCCAGGCTTCTGGGCGATGGTGTAAGCACGTGGGACCAGCTCTCCAGGAATTCTGGTGGCAGCGTGGTTAGTCTGTTGCTTGATAAATCCAAGTAGGCAAGGTTCTTCAGGTACCTGACTGCCTCATTTGGCACGCTGGTTATTCTGTTATTGTGTAAACCCAGAGTCCTTAGACGAGGCATGTCCAGCAGAGATGTCCAAGGGAAAGCATCCAGAGAATTCCCGTCCAGGCGCAACTCATGCAGCTGTCTGAGGTTGTAAAAACTGCTGGCGTCAAGGCTGGTGACGGAATTGTAGGTCACCCAGAGGTACTGGAGCTCCACCAGGTAGTAGAAGGCCTCAGCGGGGATGCTGCGGACGACGGTCTTCTCTATGCGAAGCTTCACAGTGTCCACGGGGACATTCATAGGGACCTCGTTCATATCCAGGTCATTACATAGCACTGACCTAGTGTTACAACAAGAACGGTGGAAGGAAACCTTCTTTCCAAGACCCATTTGGAAAAAACAATACTTATTGTAACATACATCAATTGTTTTTCAGTCATTACTGATCTTCACAAAATATCTATTCAGCCTGGCTGACCTATTCATTAATAATCTGTCATCATCATCTTCTTCTATGTTGACTATAGAAAATGGACATTTTTGTAGGTTAAAAATGATCAAATATAAGCAATTCCATGTGGTTCAGCCTAACAGTGATGGAGTTCTTTACATGTCAGGACTGTGCAACACACATCACATCGATTACCTTATTTAATTGTCACAGCAGCCGTAGGAAGTCAATAATGGGTAATAGGTAAAGGCTCCAGCTCTGGAACCAGGCTGATCTTAGCCCAGATTTAAGCTCTGCCACCTCTTTTGTGGCAAAGCCAATCCTTACCAATTGTTCAACTTCATTTTCCCCTATAGCACTGGTGGGATGGTTCATTGAAACAGATGTAAAGTTTTACACCTTCCTGACACATAATAGACACTCAATGGGTTCATGCTATTTTTATTATCAATCTTATTTTTACAGCTAAAATAACTGAGGCCTACCAACATTAAAGAACTTCTCGAGATCACATAGCCAGTGGGTTACACAGCCACCTTCCAAACCCACATCGGCCCAACTTCAAAGTGCACACTTAACCTCTTTATGAAATGGCCCATTTTAAAAGAATTCCCCGTCGAAGTTATAGGTCTTTTTTAAGGAAGGAAGGAGCAAGTGTTCACCTTAGATTTCTGAAAGTGAGCTCTATTTTAACCATGTGACTTCCAGCCAAGGAATAAACCAGAAACTGCAAGTTTATTCCTTTTACTACTCACTAACTTAAGTGACCTTGAACAAGTCACACTGTGATCTTGCTTAGTAGCACATGTAAAACAAGCACAGGAAAACAAACCTGTCCCATATGTGAGTGTAAAGTATGAAGAATCAGAGAATTTAGATGCCTTATAACTTGGAAAAAGATCAGTTTATCTCACATTGTATACACATTCCTACTGGATTGCCAAAAATGAACAATGAAACATTTTACAAAGTACGATCTAAATTATAATACATGTATACATGTAGTAAACAGTAACAACAAAACAGCCATTCGGTGAAACACATCACATTAAATTGGTAAACTTTAAAAGTGAGGCTGTAATGTAAAGAGAGGTAAAAGCAGCACGAAGCAGATGTATTGCTAGCATCTCCTGTCTGTAACTTCAGGAGAAGATCGTATGGAAGCATTGGATTTCTTGGGACATCTTCTCTTCATCTCTATTCTCTATCACAAATTGCAGTGCTACTTTAGACCAGAATGATCCAGTTTCTACTCGTTAAGTTAGCATTCCAGTGTAATGGAAAAAAGCCTGGATTAGAAGCTGAAAGGCCCAGTGTCTTTATCAGCCAGTCACCGTATCAACTCAGTGCTATGAACTCAGATAAGTCATTTAGCCTCTGTTAGGTTTCTTCATTTGTAAAAAGACAGCAGTAGAACTAGATTATTTCTAGAGTTCTTGCCAAGAATAATACACTATGATTTTCATAAAATCCATCAATAACGGGGCCACCAAGGAGAAGGAAACATTACTGTGATTGTTTTTCAAAAGTACCCTGGTCTGACTCATTAACTGCTACACGTCTTTTGCCAAGTAGGTGTTTAATTTGTTAAATTCTTCTCATTGTCCTAAACTACTCTGTGAATCTCTCAAAAAGATACCAAGAGCTGGTTAAGTAAAGTTTATAAGAGTAACAAGACAAACTACTCAATAATGTTTTAATTTCCATTAATTTGTTTTGAAGTTGTAGGACATAAATTGGGTGACTCTTTTCAACAAATTATTTTGTTTAAGAAGCTCACTGTTCAAATAACCTCTAAAGTGACAAACCATCAACCGAGTAATTAAAAAAATCTGATTTTTGTCACTAAATATTATCTCAAAAAAATCATGATCTATTAAGTTTAGCTAACAAGAGTTCCGTTTTGCATTTAACTTCTGTATCGAAGGACTTATGTGTATTATAAGTATGTAACTTTTCTGGCTTCACAGGTAGATGTTAAAGCAACCTAGGGGTCCAATAGCTTCTGTGAGGCCCTACAGCACCTACGATGACAGGGCCGACCCATATCTTTCAAACCTCTTTTCTTTGTAAATTCCAATATCTTAAAATGAAAAATTCTAATTATGAACATCTGTAATTTCACTCTTGTGATCTTCCTTCCAACTTTCTGGAGTCTACCCTGTTGCCATGAATAACCCTCAAAATGAAATGGAAAACCCGAGAAGCAAATGATCTGGGCACGTCTCGTGCCTGCTGATCAGCCTTGCTTTCTGTAATCAGGCTGAGCTGGCCACACACATTTCACCCTGACCTCCTGAAAGGAACATTTTGTGAATACAAGTGCAATGAACATTTTTGTAGCACAGACTGTGTTTCAGAGTCTCAAATGATTTGAGGGGCTTTTAAGAGCGGAACTGCCCAAGATGAAAACAATGGAGTTGACAACCACTATTAATATAATTAAGTTATATCTTACGTCAATTAAACCTTCTCTCCTCTGATTTCCAATCAACAGTTTGCTTTCAAAATAAAGCTGATGAGGGAGCCCTTTTTCTCGGAATCATTAGAACACGTAGTAGCAAGGAGAGGAGCATACCTTGATCCCATGCCATCGTTCCTGCCGTGATAATCACAGGTGCACCGTGAAGGACACAAACAGCTCATTTCTCCCAAAAAGCTAAGCACTATGCCCAGACATGCTAAGAGATGCATTGCTCCTTTTAGAAGCTATTTGAACAAAAGGTAAAAACCAAATCCTAAGCATTCAGAAACTGGTGTGCCTGGAATGCAAACAGCCATTTAGTAAGAGCAGATTACACAGGATTAGCTGAGATCTGTAGTTACTTAATCTTCAAGTGTATCTTGCAAGGGATCAATCTTCCTAGCCTTTGAATATGGTTTCAGCAAAGTAACACATTCTAAGGAAAATGAAAATCAAACACATGTCAAGAAAATTTCAATAGTTGCTTGTATCTATTTGCAAGGAAACGCCTATTAAATTCTTTTCCTATGGATGTAATTGTTACTACACTTTGAAGCTACAGTTAAGGTTAAAAATAACTCAATGTCTTAGCAGATACTAGAAAATAAATGCAGACTATTTACATTATAACATTATAAATTTTATTTTGTACATTTATTTTTTTACCAGCATGCATAAGAATAAGTTTTAAAAAAATAGTTTTAAAGACAGAAGCACATGATATAAAATTGATTTAGAATAGAGTTATCAATATTGCCACGTATTGGCATTCTCCAAAGACAAAGTAGACAAAGTCCAGTACCTAGTTAGGAACATCTAACAACCCATTTCAGTAATTATTTGTTACTGAAGAGTAACAAATTGTTAAAGAGTATTAACTATATTATTATCATAGTTACATCCTGCTGACACAAGATAGCAGGACATCAATACAGCACAGTGCATGCCATGACAGAGAGAAAGAGAGGAGGCCTTAATCTCATGTGTCTGTATTCATCAAAGGAAATGAACGATAAGTTTACATGTAAGGAAATAAAGAAACATTCCCTACAGTAGCCAGCGCACAAACAGAACAACTATAAACTACACTTGAGGAATTCAGCCTATTAGGATAATAATCTGTCTACATTTGATCTAAATGGGCTCATATTTTAAATAAAATTAAAACATTACAAAAAAAGTATGTAGGGTGTTTTGATAACTTGGGCTTTCCTCTTTTTTCAGGGTCCTCCAGAAGTCAATGGGTTTTGAGGTACATCCATTGGTAAAAAACTCGTCACAGGCATAGCTTGATGAGTTTGACATTTGAACATGGCAAACATTGCCTTCCGAAACCTACAATAAAAAGGGAAAATCTGGCATTATCCTATGATGACTTGGAATTTTAAAACATTTCAATATGGGTAAGATGCCACTACTGCCGATTGACATTTCCAGATAAATTTTTGCCTCCAACCTTATCTCCTGTTGAGAGCCTTTATAAATGTAGAAAGTATACAGTATAGTTGAAGACCTATTTTGTGTCATTAATTGTAAACATTGGAGACATTTAATAAAAATCAATAATTATGTGTTTAAATGACATTTCTAATGTCAACTCCAATAATTTATTTATTTGAAAGAAGGATATGCATTTCATGCATCTATTCTTCTGAGCAAAGGCGAGTTAAAATTAAGGGGAATTTGAGAATGACTGACCTTTCCAAAAGAACGACCAACAGGCTCTGAATTTAAAATGTGCTCTTTACTCTTCTTATGTGGTCTGTTTGGTCTTAAAAGTTTCTGCATTTATTCACCTATTTATAACTAAAGCTGCTCTCCCAAACATGTGCATAAAATGCATAGGTTTAATAGAAGCAGCATTGGCATTTCAGGATCAAATTACTGACCTCTACTAAGATTTAAGCACAGTAGATTGGTTCATTCCATCTTTCAGTAGCAAAAGAAAATGAAATAATCCAACCTTCACTGAGGAGGCAGAAAAGAAATCCTTACCAAGAGTCCTAACTAAGGGGGTGGGGGCCTTTCTCGTCTTGCATTTGAATGGCACATCCTCTTTCTAGTAAATATACAACTATGCACTCCACTTAGGGAGACCAACATTGCCTTGGCTTGTCCATCATCTGGTAATAGAACTGCTCTTTTCTTTGAAATACCAATTCCACGTATTTTGGGTGTGGTAACCATAAGAACTAAGCTGAGCCTCCCAACAACCTTCCAGCAGCTTCTCTGCCAGAGTCACCTGAGGTGCACTTTGAATTCAGGACTGCTGAGCTGGTAGAACTTGGGTTTGGGGTCGCCTGTAATCATCTTGCCTCCATGTGGGAAGAGCCTGTCACAGAGCTGGAGCTCTAGGCATTTAAAGTTCTCCAGTTGCATGAGTCCAATAACTTCTACGAGCTAGCTCAGAGTGAGTTTCTGTCACTTATTTCCCCAGAAGTCTTAGAACATTATCTGTGGTCTTTTAAACATTCTTTCTGTATCCCTTATTTTGTTCAGAAGCACTTTTGACGTTACTTACTTTTTATTAGCAACCACATAAATGCAGGGATTGTAGAATGTAGAAGATTTTGCAAACAGTGGAGCAATGATGGCCACCGAGGGAGGAATCCTCTGTGGGTCACCGACCGAAGCCCATAAGCACACAATTGAATAAGGGGACCATGCCACCAGAAACATGAGTATCATTACCACAGACATCTGTAAAAGAAATAGGTATTTGCTAAATCCAATATCTACGTAACTAACATACCTAAAATGGCATAAAAATGATCTAGATTGGAATTTGAATAAGTTTATGTTGTTGACGACATAAAGGAAAAATTGAATCTTACCCCTCATTGTTCTTTGCGTCATGTGCAAAAAAAAAACCAAGTCATCTATGATAACAAGAGCCTGTGAGATGGATACAATGCGACACAAATGTAAAGAATGCCTCCTCTCTTTTGATGTGTTAGGGAAAAATACAAAAGCTGGCTTCGATGAAAAACACATACATACCCACTGCTAACTCATTTCTAGTCATTGTGGTGTGGACTCCTGGCATACACAGACTAATCCCTTGCACAGAACTCAGAAAGCCTCAGGAACTAGAGGTGACAGCTAGCTCTGAATGTGAGGCTGCCCATGGAACTTAAAAACAGAACTCACTGAAATCTGCAAAAAGAAGCAGGCAGACTTCTGAATTCCCTTTGCATGCAGCCAGGCAGCTGCCCCTGTCCTCTCCCCAGAAGCACCCAGTAGGTGAGTGTAAGAGGGAAAAAGCAGGGAAACCCAGGGCCGGGGGCCACGGGGCTCAGCTGAGAGCCAGAGCACTGTACTGCAAAGAGGGGCGCCGCATGCCGTCGCCGCCCTCCTCTCAAACGCAGCTCACAGGCCGACAGACTTGGACCTCCCACCCAGGTACGTGAAAAAATCTTCCGCTTGGAAACTGAGCAGCCCCGAAAAAAATGCCTGGAGATGCAGGTTGTCAGAAAGACCCCCAAAGAAACATCCCAACCAAAGAGCCCATATGAAGCTTACGATCAGCGTTTTGGTGCCTCACTCTCAATACTCAGGGAGAGTCACTGAGCGCCAGACACCGAGACGCGCACGCCGAGACCAAAGCAGTTCAGAAACGCAGGAGAAACAAACACCATGTGATGAACTGAAGGAAAATGTAAATATATACAGGAGATATAAAACAAGAAGAGGAAGCTATTAAAAAGGAGTACAGAGTATAAAATAATTCTTTTATCTATAACAATGGCTTTTGTCCTGTATGTGAGAGGAGAATTTTTAAAACGCAATAGAAAGGGTAAGGTAAATGAGGTGAACCGTGTAAGCGCAGGGTCAGGTCCTGTCTTTATTTCAAATTTTATATTATGCTTAATATAGGTTTTTGCATTAATTTTGATTTTTAAAAATACTTTATTAACTGCTTTTCTTTATTACTAAGTTCTTTGGTGCCTGCTTAAATTTCATACCCAAGGCTTGGGCCTCGCTCTCCTCACCCGATCCCAGGCCTGGACAGGGTTGAGGAAACCTCTCAGAAAGTAGAAATAAAAACAAACAACAAAACAAGCAAAGAAACCCAAAACAGGGACAACATACAAGAGGAAATTTTTTAAAAATTAGAAGATAAATCCAGGAGATATAGACAGATAAAAGGAGTTCCAGGAAAAGAGAACAGAGGAAACAAAGCAGGGTGGGAGATCACCAAAGAAATAATACAAGAACCCTCCCAAAGGGGAGGCCCTGGGTCTTCACATTGCAGGCACTTACCAAAGACCAGCGTGTGGGTGAATGAAGAGCCACACCAAGGTGCATCGGTATGAAAGTCCAGAAAACCAGAGACACAGAGACGGTCCTACCAGCTTCCAGAGATAACACGCAAATAGCTACCAACAGTCGGTCACCAGAATGCTGCCAGCCTTCTCAAGAGCAGCACCAGAAGCTAGAAGACTATAGAGAATGCTTTCAAAGTTCTTGGAAAATCAGTTGTCTACTTAGAATTTTACACCAGTCAAACAACCAGTCCATTATAATAGTAGAATTTTAAAACATTTTCAGGCATGCAAAATCTTTAAAATTTTCCCTCCTGAAAACTTTCTCAGGAGCCTCCTTGAGAATGTGCTCCACCAGGTGAGAGGGAGTAACCAAAAAAAGGGAAGACATACACCCCAGAAAACAGGTGATTCAACCCTAGAGAGAGGCTAAAGGTGAGGATGCCGGCTTTCTGGACTGGGGTTTCAGAAAGCAGCCAGTGTAGAGCAGGGTGAGAGGCCCAGGAGCGCCAGGAAGCAAAGTTCCAAGAAAAGGAGAAAGTCTCCAATGCACTTGAAAGTACCAAGAGGAAACTGAGGCTGCTAGTGGAGAGATTAGAGATAAATTAGTGACAAGTACACAGAGGAGTAAGCAAACGAAACTACCAGGAGAGAGCTCTGGAGGGAGAGGGGAACAAAGAGAGAGGGAGAAGAAGGGAGGAAGAGAAAGAAAGAAAAAAGAAATCAACTCCATGGGAAAAAAGTTTTATGGAAAATGAATCAGGGTGATCATTCATAAATTACACAAATGTCTAATCACTCGGTTGTATATCTGAAACTAATATAATATTGTATATCAACTGTAATTGAAAAATTAAAAAATTATTTAAAATGAAATACAAATCACTGACCCCTACAGAAATCTGCTATAAATAAAATTTAGGGACTCACAAGAACGTAAAATTGTCTCTTCAGCTAACCAAACA